GAAGGCCATTTGCCTGAACAGGGCCCGAAGGCTTGAAACAGAAGTCTAGGAGTCCAGGACGGGGCAAAGGGATACGCAGAGGGGATAAAGATAGAAGGTGGAAAAGGGAGCAGACCTCTTTCACCCCCATTGTCATCTATGCATCAGCTTGACCCAAGGGCAGGCCGGCATTAGGCAGATGAAGACTATCTTTAATTTAAATATCCATAAACCAGGCCTGCGGGTAGGGTGGGAATGGGGTGAAGATGAGGATGGACTAGGCTAAAAATGAAGTTTGAACTTTTGGCCTTTGGGACCACCCATTCTTTCCTCAGCCCATCCATTCCTTGGGGTTTCATTTGCCTTAGCTCTAGGGCATTATGACGCCAGGAAGGCGGAGTAGGAGCAGGAAAGAAGACTTGGGTCTCACCTTAAACTTATTCTGAGAATGACCTAGGATGTTGAATGACCTGGGAAAAAGTGAGAGATTTCTGGTGGGGGAAGGAAGCCTGGTGGCGCCAGCAGCCCCATTGGACTCAGCTAGAAAGCAAGTGGGAGAAAAGGGAAGTATGGAGGCCGGAGAATCAGCTAGCTAAGCAATATTGGACTTTGTATGTACAGCAGAGATGGAGGCAGTAGGGGATACAACCAGATCAAGTCTGGAGCCTCATCCTGCCCATCTCTATACCAAGTCTACCAAAAACAACACCAGAAACATTGGGACAATAATCATCTTTTTTGGAGGGCAGTAGTTGGATTTGAACTTGGGGGGCTTTCATTAGCCAGGCACATGCTATACTACTTGAGCCACACCACCAGCCCTGATACAAAGATTATGTAAAGCACCAGCCATAATGGATGTGTCTAGCTCAGGGAGGGTGCAGACAGACTGGCAGAAAGCTTTCTAGAGGACAGACAGGAGATGGGGACGGGGGTGGGGGGACGGTGCAGAGGTGATGGAGGCATTCACAGAAGGTTGTCCCTGTTGGCATTGCCGTGGGCCTCTGATTAAGATTCTTAACTCCTTGAGCCAGCAGCCTGCTTTTCCAGGTGTTCAATCGGGCTCAGTCCGGTGGCTCACCAAGGCTTACACTTTAACACACACTCATTTCCAGAGCTCTGGGATACCAGTATGAAAATGCTGGTGGTTTAGCCAGATGGGCTAGGTTGAAATCCTGATTTGTCCCTGACTGTGTGGCCTTGGGTGAGTTGCTTTACTCCTTTGTGTCTCCAAGTACAAGGCAGACAGGGAGAGGTCAAGGCCAAGGTGAAGACTCTAAGTTGCACGAGGGTAGAGCTCAGGTTTATTACCTGGTGCGGAGGGCAGAGGCAGGGGAGACAATGAATGAGAGCCTGCTGGGAACTGGTCCTCGAGTGCAAGAATATGAGGGAGCTGGAAAATATGCATGTGTGGCACATAGAGCGTGTGTGAACGGGTGCAAACGTGTGTGTCTGGGGATGAGAGTGTCTCTGTGGGAGGCTCTGGGAAAGAATAAGAGTTTCCATTTAGTAAGCACCATGGTGGGGCCAGGCCCCATGCTAAGCTTTTCATGTACATTATCTCATTTAGCCCTTGGCATGGCCCTGTGAGGCAGAGGATGCTCTCAAGATATAGAGAGGAACCAAAGCACAATCAGAGGAGGTGCCATGCCCAAGGAACAGTGACTCCCTGGCTCTGAAGTTTGGTCCCCCCTGCCTTTCATGTAGGCAGCTGAGCTTTGAAATAACTTCTCTCTAGCTTTTCAGGAGACAGTACAACACCTGAGATTTCCTGCAGGGCCCACTTGTTTTCCATCCCTGAGTCCATGAGTGTCCTTCCTCCCCAGGCACTTCAATTCTTAGCACTCTCATGCGTGAGGCTTGGTGGGGCACCAGCACTAGCCCAACTCAGAGGCCAACACAAGGCTAGTGTTCAGCAACAATGGGGGACTTGAATCTTGTGTGGGTGTTGGGGGGTATGATATGTGTGTTGACACAATGACCTGGGAGTCTTGGGAGGGGTGACAGTGAAATAGGCAAGGCTTAGGTAAGAGAAGGCACCATCCCCCATGGCTTCTGACCTTCTCTCTCAGGCTCCCGTGGAAAGTCATTTTCCCCTACCTCGGGGGCCTGAATCACAAAGTCTGAGGCACTTCCAGGGTGAGGTTATAGTGGGAACTTGGAGTCACACGTCTTGGCTGTGGCAGGGAGGAGGTAAGGTTTAGCTCCTGAGGCCCCTGTAGCATAGACAGGTTGAGGCAAACAGGCTAAGCCATGAGCAGGGGTGGCCAGCATGAGGAGCAGGCCTGGACGTATAGTCCTCTCCTTTTCTCTGCCACCCTTCCCACTCAGGATTAGCTGCTGGCACAATCAGGAATGACTTCTGTCTGCCCAGGTTTCCTGAGTTTGGCAGCGAAGCCACATCACCCTTATCTCATGCTTGGTTTGGGGCTGCCCTCCCCAGGATCACAAGGCATGAAAACTGTGGGGAGAGAGAGAGAGAGAGAGAATCTAAGGCCAGATCTCAGATTGTCAGTGATGGTCCTACTTCAAAACTTTGGCCTATGGGCAGGTGATTGTGTGTGTGTGTGTGTGTGTGTGTGTGTGTGTGTGTATCTATCTATCTATGTATCTATCTATATCCTTTCTCAGTCCTAATAACCTTCAGGAAGAGTATGAGTACAGTCATGGTCATTGTGTAAGACTGTTGCTTGCCAGGCATGAACCAGCTTTTAATCTGGAATGAATGAAACAAACACACAAGAAACAGAAAGGGGCTAGAAATGTGCCATGAGTATGGCACAGAGGAAATGAGCACAATGTATGGGGACCAAGATGGCAGGAGTTAAATCCTACTTCCCTCACTGATCACTTCAGTGAACTTATATGGCTCATTTCTTGCCCACCTTTTCGAGATCTTAGCTTCTCCCTAAGTAAAATGGGAAACATGGAAGTCATCTCACAGGGTTATAAAGGAAAAGCATCTAAGGCTTTTGACACACAGTAGGTACTCAGTAAGCAGCATGCTGCTTTCTCTATTCAAATTGTGATATCCTGGTGTGCGTGCCAAGAATCCTAATCTCCCAGCTGGACTGTGTGTTGTGTCCTTGTACCTTGTTCATATCTCTTCTTGCTTACTCCCCAGCTGGGAGCAGGAAATTCTAGACAGCTCTTGCTCCTCCCTGTCTGCCAACAGTCATCTCACCCTCAAGGCTATCTCTAATGGAAGGAGCTCAGCTTCTTCCATTTTATTTCTCCTCAAATAGAGGTCCTCCTCTATTGCCACAGGCATCACCAGATGGTGCCATGAGAAACCCAGTAGCTAAGTCTCCCATCAAGGGAGATAGAATGGATATAAAACTCCATAAAGGTGGCAAAGCATTGAAGCTATAGCACTGATACAAAGTTATGAATTCAGGTACACAGGTAATGGGAAGCTGATGAGAAGCATATGTGTGTCTATTTTCTCTTGTACCAAAATGTTTTCCAGCCTTATTCCTCCAACTAAATGTGGCCACGCCTGAGGGAGTGTTGCTCACCTTGTTATCTCCACAAAGAAGTATCAAGGTGAACTGAGGATTTAGTTCAACGGTTAAGCCCTTGTCCAACAAGCCTGAGGCCTTGGGTTACGTGCCCAGCACCAACTCCTCCCACCCCATCTCCAAAATAATCCCTAATCACAATGACAAAACCATGCAATTGGGAGACTTCTATCCCTGGCAGTCCCAAAGCTAACCCTCAACCCATCCTCCTGACACCAGATCTTTCTCTAATTTTTCCCATCCTCCTGACACCAGATGACGAATGTTGACAATGCCACCTTGTCTCAGGTCTTATATTCAAACTTTGGCTTGGGTCTGCCAGGCTTGTTTATGCTGCTCGTAGGTATGCTAGGCTTGCATACGTCAATCTGGTTGTGAGCTTCAGGGTTGTCCCACGTGCCTGCAGATCTATAGTGGGCCAGAAGGGGGAGACATGAGCTCGTGAGTGTCTCTGCTGGGGTGTAAGGAAGAGAGTAGGTCAGACCGGGAGGGTCTGAGCTATGTATGGGATGGAGCCAAGTTATAAGCAAAGAAGCAAGAAGGGGCGGAGAGAATGGGCCAGGGCTGGGAGACAAAGGCCCAGATGGTGAGGCCAAGAAGACTGGAGTCTGGGCATTTCAGAGCCAGGATGTATGCTTTTGCTTTTGTAAAAGGCTCCTGCCCTGAGCCTTTCCCTCTTAGCCCTCAAGCTATCTTTCTTTATAGAGGCACTCTTGCTAGCGTCTTGCCCGTTCTTTCATATCAGATAGGATTCGAAATCTGTGCTCTTCCCGGGTACCTCTTAAAGATTCTGAGCGCTTGGTATCAAGTAAAGAAAAACTCACTTTCCCCCACTTTTGTTCGGTTCAGTGCACGCTAACGATGAATCTCAAGGATGGAAGGAAAGCCCACAACGCTTCTACAAGATACTGGATGGAAAGCAGACAGGATTTGTCACTAGTATACTTGAGCCTACCAAATATCCATCCATCACCCGTTTTGTTAGGCTTAGTACAAGACAGTGTCTTTGTAGGCCATAACTAGAAAGGCCACTAGAGCCCTGTGTGGTATTGGTCGGGGAGCACACAGGCCATCTTTGCCACGGAGTGGGTACGGATAAGGATTTCCAGGGCGTGTGTTGGTGCGGAAGTACTCTAATTTCTCGAGGGTACACGGAACAGGGCTTGTCTGGCCTAGGTCAGTCGGCCTGGCTGTTGACCAGAGTCGAGGGAAGAAGAAGTAGGCCGGCTTGCTCTTGAGAAGCGCTAACTTCCCACGGGCAGAGCGCTCTGGGAACTGGACGAAGCAGGACGCAATCAAAACCGCAAGAACCGCACACTCAGATTGGTGCCATCAGGAGCGCGGCGTCCTTAAGAGCTCTCCGAAGCCCCGCCCCCTTCCTGCTCTGGAGGCGTGGTATGGGGCAAGGACCCCATTCCGGAGCTTGCTATTGGCTATGCGGAGCAGGGTTGACTTTGCGCTCGCCTGAACAGGAGAGTAGAAAGCTCGGCGGCGGCGGAGGGAGTCTATGCGCGCTGGACAGCAGTGGGAGGTGTGTGCGACTAGCTGTGGCCGCAGACCTTCGGGCTCAACCGCCGGGAGACTAACACTCGGTGACGGGGCTGCCGGGCTACCGGGCCCAGCTTTCAGAGGCGTAAACTGATGAGACTGGCTGGTTCGGCAGTGTCTCCTTGGTCTTTTAAGTACACCAAGCGGGGACCCGCGCTGAAGTAGAAGCTGTCTAGGGGAGCACAAGCCCGGAGTCCCAGTGTGGCACGGAGGAACGGAGCCCGTGCCAGGGCAACCCAATCGGGAGCCTGGGGACCGAGCCCGCGTTTACGGGAGATCCCCGCTTCTTCCCAGGGGTGTCAATCCCGGGACTATCGAGGAGTCTGGACCGTCAACGAATCCTCGGTGGGGAGATCCCATTGGGAAGAGGGCGCGGAGTCCCAAATAGTCTCGGGGAGCCGAGCCGAATCAGGCGGGATCACCCGGGGGCGCCGAGCCCTCGGAGGCCGCAGCTCATGCCAGGGTTGGGGGCGCCTGCCCAGTGAGTCCTCCTGGCCGGCCGGGCGGAGGAGAGCGACACCGAAGCCGGCGGCTACGGAGGATGGGCGCCTGAGTGGCTCGGAGCGAGCGCAGCGCGGCACAGGCAGGCAACGCAAGCTTTGCTGAGGAGGCGCCAGGGGATCCCTCAGTGCATCCTGCCCCCGGGAAGATGGCCCGGCCTGGGCAACGTTGGCTCAGCAAGTGGCTTGTGGCAATGGTCGTGTTGACGCTGTGCCGGTTGGCCACACCGCTGGCGAAGAACCTGGAGCCCGTGTCCTGGAGCTCCCTCAACCCCAAGTGAGTAACTTATCTGGTCTGGTCCCAGGGAATGGGAGGTGCCCCCCTCCCCCGCTTTTGGAGGTGAGGCCACGCACCCTCCAAGTGAGTGCGGGAGGTATTTAGAGGAGTGGTGCCCCATTTTGTTTCTGGCTTTTTCTTTTCCTAGTGTTCTCTTGCGGGCAGGCAAGGAAGGGTGCGTCGGGGTGGGGTGGGGGCCATTGAGCTCGGTTGGTTGTGACCCCTCAGCTTCCCGGCCCTTCCTTCCGCACATTGGGACTTGAGAGTCGGGATGGTCGCTTCAGGCAGATGAGGACTCTAGAGCGCACCCGAGAACTGGGTGGGGGAGAGAACGCAGCCCCCTTCAAGGCCCGTGGGAACGTGGTGGGGTTCGGCGAGAGCAGCTCCGGGAGCAAGCTTGACCCGGGCGGGGGAGGGGGAAAAGCCACCGCACAAGTTCTTCATTTGCTTAGGTGTGGAGAAAACGCGGCATGGGACCCCCCCAAGCCTGGCTTGGGCCGGGTGGCTGCGCCCGGGTCCCTTCTCCGACTCCTTGCATTTTCATTTCTTTATTCCCTGTCTGTTTGCCTCCCTGGCTTTTCCTTTTGCCGCCCCCCCACCCCTTTTCTCTCTGCCGGGGCGATAGAAAGGCGGGCGCCGCTCCCAGGCTCACAAAGGCGGCTGGTGGAGAGGGGCGGAGTGGGAGAGGGTTGTTGTGTGTGTGAGGGTTCGATCCAGTGCCCGTCGGGGGTCCAATGGAGCCGGCAGTGGAACTGCTTCGAGGGCCAGTCGGGCGGAGAGTGGCAGTGGAGCCAGCGAGGGAGGTGGGTGGGAAGTGAGCGATTCCTGCCCAGGCAGGTCCCTTTGCCTCCCCCCCCCCCCACTCTTAAGTACCTCAGATTGAGAAGCCGTTCGTAGCTTTCTGCAAAGGGATTGGAGGGGGGGGGAATGGCGATATAAAGGAAATCCTTTCTTTCTCTCTTTCTTCTCTTAACCCCCTCATAATACCCCCCCCCCCTCGGAACAACACACACCTTTCAGGGCGGTGGCTCAGTGGTTTCTGGGCTGTTTGTGAGGAGCAGCCTGGCTGTTGTAGTGACCTCTGGACCTTTTTCCTCTTTTGGCATCGGAGACTTGAGTTGGAACTCGGGGTCAAAATTGCTCTTCTTCCCTGTTTTCTGGAGGACCCGGCAATGTGTGAACAACCCCAGTTTAGCGGGAAACCAGGGTTGGGGGAGGGCTTGACCTGTCCCATCTATGCTCTGATTTCTGTATCTGCACTTTTCTCCTTGACCACACTTGCTGGGCTCCCACTAACTACACCAGCTCCTGCTGGCCTTGGACGCTTGGGAAAGGGGTCCATGTCTCAGCCCTGAAGTGGGAGAAGGCAGCTTCTTTGGTCCTCTCCCCCTTGAGTTAAGCTAGGGTGGGGGAGATGGCTAAAGCAGGATCAGGGTGGAGGTCTTTGCCTGGCTAAAAGGAAAAGGACTGGCAAGAATTTTACCTCTATGGTATCGAATTGGGTATAGTACTTTTAACTGTGGGGGCCCAAAATAGTTGGGGGACCTGAGGCTGTGAAGCCCAGGGACAAACGTTTAGCAGTGCTAGCTTCTCCCCTGTAAGGGTGGAGGTTGGAAATGCTGTGGAGCCTGGAGAGTTGCAATCTGCCTCGGGTAGCCCATCCTAGGGACTCATGGGAGTGACCTAATTGCTCTCTCTGGTCTCTAATCAGAGATAGCAAGCAGTTCCACAGCTGGAAAAGAGCCTTCCTGCAGAGTCGAGGGTGCTGGGAGGAACGAGATCTTTCTGAGCTTTCTCTCTTTTTGTGTTTAGAGTGATTTGGACCCATTTATAAATTTTGTGAGGGGGGAGGTGGAAGGTGTATTCCCTCTGCCTGTCCTCTACCCTTTCTACCTTAAGCTTGGGACAGGAATCCTGGGGTGGAGATGGGGGCAACACAGCAGAACCTGCCTGAATTCCATGCTGTAACACAGCAGATCCTGGAAATGTTCAAGACTGATCCTGGTGCGCTCCCCACCCCTCCAGAGTTCATCTATGCTCAGGGGTCTGGAATGCAGCCTATGTCTGCTGCATGTGTTGGTGTGGGGTGTGGGGCAGGACAGGAGAGAAGCACTGCCCTCCTTTCCCCCTGGGCTCTACGGGCTGCCACCGCGCCCAACCCTCAAGCTGCTGCCACAGCTTTTCCAATCAACAGCCTCTGTCTCTTTTCCCCTAAACCTCCTGCTCGAGTGAGTTCTCCCTCTCAGGCCCAAACCCGGGTGTGTGGATTGCCTTCTCACACCCTCTAAGCTCCCGCTCACCTCCCCTCTCCAGCTCAGCTCGCAGCTCTCCCTCTTTCACACTCCCTCTCACTCTTAGTCACTCTCTGCCTCTTTTTCTCAAGTCCTTTTGTTTCTTGCACATGCCCGTGCTCTCCCTCTCCCTCGCAGGCTCATTTTCTCTCTTCCCTCCCCTCTTCCTTTCCTGGCTTTTGGTCTCTCTCTTCAGCCCTGTCAAGAGCTGGCACCCCCCCCCCCAAAATCTCTTAGTGCCTATAAACTCTGCTTAATTGCTTCCTCCTTGGGAAAAAAATCAAAATAAAGAAGTGGTGGGGCTAGGGATCTGCTTCTAGGTTCCAAGGTGCAAGAAAGCTCCAGTCCTTTCTCCCAAATTGGTGCTGAGGCCTTCTAGGGTGGTATTTTCTGGGTGGCAGATTCCGCCTCCTGGGCCCCTCTTGTCAGATTCACCCCAAGAGTACAGAGTAGGGAGATGGGCTTGTTCCCAAGTGGAGTTTGGTAGAAACCAGTGTGTGCTCCTGCTGGCCTAGTTGGGGGACTGTAATTTAAATGGTCCCAGGGTGGCCTCCCCCCAACTCCCTTCTTGGGGTGGGGGGGGTGGTTTGGGCAGCCGGCAGGCCTCACACTTGAGTCCTCAGCCAAGTCCAGCTGCTATAGTTCAGTTTCAGTCCCATTCTGACCCCTTCCTGCTCCCCACTCAGGTTCCCCCACCCTGCCTGAGATCACATTACAAACCTTCCTTTCTGGGGCAGCCGTGGAGATTCTGCTTGACATCCAGGACCCTTGACTTAGCATGGGAGGGGGCAGCTGCAGACCCCAACCCATGCTTGCCTGTTTCAAGTGGAAGGGTTTGGTCCCAGCCCCCTCCCAGCTGTTCTAGCTCATAGTCTTAGGGGAGGCCAACTTAGGGGGCCCCTTTCCGGGGTGGTTAGGGACCTGACCTCTTCTATTCTGGCTGATTGGCTACAGGTGGGGGGCCTGAGGGTGCTGGGAGCTGAGAGGTCCCTACCATACCCTGTTCCCTTGCTTCCCTGCCCTCACAAAGGGCAGCCAGACTAGGGTAAGAAGGGATTGTGAGGCAGAAAGCCAGGGTTCCCTTTCTTCCTTTTAGGCTTTCTGTTGTCTCACTAATCTAGGTGAATAGGGATGGGTAGGCCTTGTGCATCACTGTTTGCATGGGTTACGGCTAGGAGGAGAGTCTGCTAGCTAGGCTTGTGGTTGCCATGAGAACCCAGGTTTGGAGGATGGTGGTGAAGGGAACTGAAGTGGGGGATACTCAACAGCTACATTTTGAAAATCCCTGTGGGCCATAGAAGCTCTTCTTCCCAAGTGGGTTCTGTGGTAGTGGTTTTGGGGCTGGGTGCTAGCAGCCTGGGAGGGTAAGCACTTTCAGCTTAAATGATACTGCATGGCTGGTGTGCTAAGTAATAGGCAGGCAGCTTTGTGCTACTTACAACGTATCTTCATATATGATCTCATTGGATACTCCCAACAGCCCTGGAAGTAGGTATTGGCCCCATTTTCCAGATAAGGAGGCATTGGCCCAGAAGAGGGAAATGACTTGTTTAAAGGGAACAGAGTTAGGATCTCGGTTTCTTCTTTCCACCCCATTCTGCTGCTTTGGAATCCGGAGGAGACAGGAATGTAAGGTGGGGTTTGGGAAGAGGCTGTGGCTCCCTGCTGCCCCTGGGTTCTCCCTCTCACTTCACAAGTGGGTGAGCACTGTGACTCAGACTCTTCCTGTTTAAGGCTAGAAGTTCTCCAGCTTCACTTAACTTTCCTAGGGAAGCCTGCTTAGGTGATGACCAACTTAGTACCAGCTCTGAGAAGTTCCCTTAGTTCCTCTCTGGACTGATTATCTCTTCCTCTCAGGGACCCACCAAAGCAGACAATGGGCTGGTAAGGGTGGGTGTTCAGCCTCTAGCATACTAGCTTTGGCCAGGTGAGACAGAGAGAGAGGAGAGGGCATAGTTCACATAGGTGGGGAGGGTGACTTCCTCTGGGACTCTCCTCTGCCTTCCACAGAGCTGTGTGTGTGCCAGGACCCAGCTGCTGTTCCTGCCCACCCACGCCTGGGCGGGCACTGCTGGGACACGCCAGGCCTGCTCCTGCTGCCTTGGGGGCTGGGTGGAGCTGGGGGAGTGAAAGAGGAGCCTTTAATTTGGGGGCTCCCCACCCTAGCTGGGATGAGAGCAGACTTGAGTTCTGGCTTGGGGTCTGCCCTCCACTAGTCTTGCTACCCTGAGGGGTGTAAGCCCAGTAGTGGTGAGGCCAGTAAATCAAGGCCATGGATTAGAGTCTGCTGTCACACATGGACTTGGACAACTTGGGAATCAGGCTCTTTGTTGGTCACTCTCTGACCACAAGTCACTAGAACCTGAGGAAAGGGTTAGAGGGAAAGAAGTAAAGATCGGTCGGATGTGGACAGTGTCCTGGCCATGACTGTTCCAGCCACAAATTTTGCCCCTGGAAATCACATGTAGATGGAAGAAAGGCCCATCTAGACAAAAGATGTGTGAGGTAGAGAGTGGGAGCCATTGGTTTCTGACCAGTCCAGGACCTTGGGGGCTACTGTCACCAGATTCTCTCAACTTTACATGTCCCAGGATTCTTTTGAGCAGTCATGGTGGTACTTCTAGGTAGAAAGGTTGAAAGACAAATGGATTTGAGCTGGAGAGGAAAGGAAAGGGCAGTTCCATAAGACAGGAGCTGAAATAATTCAGG